GTGTGTGCGTGTGTTTAGTTAATATTCATAGTCATAAAAGCCACGGTGCTGGCCCAGCATCACCTGTTTTCAAACAGAGCCGCAGCAAGTTCCAATCACTCAGTTCTGCCCAAGTGGCCACGCTATGTTGCTGATCAGCCATGTTTAATGTGAACCGAATAAACAATATTCAGGGCCGGCGCCGCGGCTCAATAGGCTAATCCTCCGCCTAGCGGCGCTGGCACACAGGGTTCTAGTCCGGGTCGGGGCTCCGGGTTCTGTCCCGGCTTCCCCTCTTCCAGGCCAGCTCTCTGCTGTGGCCCAGGAGGGCAGTGGAGGATGGCCCAAGTGTTTGGGCCCTGCACCCGCATGGGAGATCAGGAAGAAGCACCTGGCTCCTGGCTTTGGATTGGTGTAGCTCCGGCCGTAGCAGCCATTTGGGGGATGAACCAACAGAAGGAAGACCTCTCTCTCTCTCTCTCTCTCTCTCTCACTGTCTAACTCTGTCAAATAAAAAAAAAATTAGTGAAAACAGGTGAAGCTGCTATTGAGCTGATTATGGCCTCGGATCCTTTGTCCCACTGGGTCCTTCCTCGCATTGGGGTCCCACCTTTGGAAGGCTCTGCCCTTGATCTGACAGCAAGGATCCCACTAGTTGGCTTTACACCTCTAGCCATGCATCCATCCCCATATCCATTCCATAGTCACTCAGCAAATCCTTACCCAAGGCCCACTCTGCGCCCAGGGCAGCCTACGGCCGCGCTCCTCCACACCTGTCCCTCAACCAGCCCAGGCTGCAGCTCTGCAGCTCCCCGTTGTCAGTCCTCAGTTTGTTGCATGGCTGGTTCTGACTATCAGCACATGTGAAGAGGAAGCCCCACCCCGGGGCTGGGGGGAGGGGAGAAGCATGAAGGAAGTGGGTCCTTGTGAGCCAACCAGACTCCCAGAGAGGCAGGGGACCAGCTCTTCACAGAGCCACTTTCCCTTCCCGCTGGGGCATCAGCGCCTCCCAACCTACAGAGACCCGGGAACGCAACACCACCAAGGTGTTTACAGCTGGGGTACCTCCATTCTGGCTTCTGGGGAGCCTTCTGGAGGGGCAGGCGCAGAAGACAAGGGGCGTACACGCACACCTGCTCGTGGCCGCTCAGACCCAGCCCAGCTGTCCCCCTTGCGCTCTGCCCACCCTCCCCATTTGGTACCCATTCCTTTGGAGGTCTCTGCGGGGGGCCTGAGTAGCTCAGTAGAGGCAGGGCCACCCACCCTGGACTTGGGACCCGGGCTTGTGTGCTTTGTGGGTCACCCGTTCTCAGCCAAGGCGGGCCCAGCAGAGGGTGGGGAGCAGCTGCCAGTCACCTTGGTGACTGTGATGTTATCAAGGCTTCACGGTTTCCTCTGGGGCGGCACTTCCGCCCTCCTGTGTGTGAAGCCTGAAACCAGTGCAGGGCAGCCCCAGTGTGAACAGCGAGGGAGACCACATTGAGAGAGAGAAAGGAAAACGCCCCATAGGGCAGGGCTAGAAGATGTAGTAACAGATGACTCACCTTGAAGGTTTTCTTTCTTCCTGTTTTTTTTTTTTTTCATTTGAAAGCCAGAGAGAGAGAGAGAGAGAGAGAGATCTCCTATCTATTGGTTCACTCCCCAGATGCCTGCAACAGCCAGGGCTAGACCAGTTTCAGGAGCCCGGAACTCCACCTGGGTCTCCCACGTGGGTGGCAGAGGCTGCAGTACTTGAGCTGTCATCTGCTGCCTTGCAGGGTGCACCTTAGCTGGAAACTGGACCAGAAGCCCAAGAGCCAGGACTCGAACCCAGACATCGTGATGAGGGATGCACATGGAATGTGGGGGCCCCCAGCACGAAGCCCCGTCCCAGGACTCCCCTCTAAAAAGAAGGGGGAAAATGACAAGCACAACCGTGCACTGCAGGTGACAGGGACACTTCTCTCTCTGCCCTGGCTGTGCCCCAGCACCCTCCCCTCTGTAGCTAGGAGGCTGCAATGGGAGGAGACTCTCCATGAATTCCTGAGAGTCTCGGGCTCTTTCCATGAAGCACAGAGCGGTGGGCTCTAAATAAATGCACTATCAGCTCCTCATGCATTTGAAGCTTGTGTGTAAGGCCAAGCATTAGAAAAGCAGTTACTGGGGCCAGCGCTGTGACGCCGGTTCGAGTCCCAGCTGTCCCTCTTCCGATCCAGCTCTCTGCTATGGCCTGGGAAAACAGTGCAAGATGGCCCAAGTCCTTGGACCCCTGCACCCACATAGGAGACCCGGAGAAAGTTCCTGGCTCCTGGCTCCAGATCGGCACAGCTCCGGCCGTTGCAGCCAATTGGGGACTGAACCAGCAGATGGAAGACCTCTCTCTCTGCCTCTCCTCTCTCTGTGTAACTTTGACTTTCAAATAAATAAATAAATCTTTTTTTAAAAAAAGAAAGAAAAGCAGTTGCTGTGGCATAGCGTATAAAGCCACCGCCTGCAGTGCCGGTATCCCATATGGGCGCTGGTTCAAGTCCTGGCTGCTGCTCCACTTCTGATCTAGCTCTTTGCTATGGCCTGGGAAAGTGGTAGAAGATGGCCCAAGTCCTTGGGCCCCTGCACCTGCATGGGAGACCCTGAAGAAGCTCCTGGCTTTGGATTGGCACAGCTCTGACCATTGCAGCCAACTGGGGAGTGAACCAGTGGATGAAGACAACCCCCCCCCACCCCCCGCCGGCGCCACTTCTCCTTCTCTCTGTGTGTAACTGATTTATAAACCTTAAAAAAAAAAAAAAAAGCAGTTACTGGTGCTGGCATTGTGGTGCAGTAGGTTGGGCCACCCTTTGAGATGCTGGCAATCCATATGACACTGCCAGTTACAGAAGATGGTCCAAATACTTGGGCCCCTGAAACTCATGTGGGATACCTGGATGGAGTTTCTGGCTCCTGGCTTCACTAACCCAGCCCTGACTGTCACGGCCATTTGGGGAGTAAACCAGCAGATAGAAGATCTCTCACTTTTCCTCCCTCTTGTCACTTTGCCTTTTGGATAAAATAAAATAATTTTTTCAAAACAACATTATTTATTTATTTGAAAGGCTGAGTGACAGACAGGGAAAGACAAAGAGAGATCTTCCATCCTCTCTGGTTTACTCTCCAGATGGCTGCAACAGCCAGAGATGGGAGGGTCTGAAGCCAGAAACCAGGAACTTCTTTTGGGTCTCCCATGTGGGCCTAGGCACTTGGGCCATCCTCTGCTGCTTTCCTAGGCACCTTAGCAGGGAGCTGGATTGGAAGTGGAGCAGCCGGGACTCGAACTGTTGCTTTTATGGGATGCTGTTACCGCAGACGGCAGCTTTACTGGCTATGCCACAGCACTGGTCACAAAATGAATCTTTTAAAAAATAATAGAATCAATAGAATAGAATAAAAGTAGTGATTTTTTTTTCCAGAGTTCCCACTGCACTGCCTGAAGGAAAGGCAATTCAGAGAAGTTCACTCAGCAGGCAAGTAATGGGCGCTAGAACTGCGCCTTCCCCTCCACCTGCTTCTGAAATCCAGGGCTTTGCCCTTGGGCTGAGCTGAGTTAAATGACTGGAAACCACTCTGGCACTGGGGCTACTGGAGTTTTCAAAAGTGAGGCTTAGAGGGGCCGCCGCCGTGGCTCACTTGGTTAATCCTCCGCCTGCAACGCTGGCATCCCATATGGGCACCGGGTTCTAGTCCCAGTTGCTCCTCTTCCAGTCCAGCTCTCTGCTGTGGCTTGGGCCCTGCACCCACATGGGAGACCAGGAGGAAGCACCTGGCTCCTGGCTTCGGATCGGCACAGCACCGGCTGTAGCGGCCATTTGGGAGGTGAACCAATGGAAGACCTTTCTCTCTGTCTCTCTCTCACTGTCTATCTGTCAAATTAAAAAAAAAAAAAAAGTGAGGCTTAGAAAGGTACATGGTACATGACAGGAAGGTGGCCCTGTTTGTTTCTCAAGACTGGTGCCGAAGCAGCTAGCTGGGTGCGGCTCGCAAGAGCACACAGGTGGTGTTGGAGTGAGCAGCCATTCTTTGTAGCCTAAGCCAGTGCTTGCTTCCTTTGCTATTCCTCCCCGTGTCTCCCTTCCCAGTGCTCACCATGGCCTGTCCCCAGCCCCTGTGGACGGCTCTCTTTTCCCTAGCTGACTGGGGGTCTGGGCTTGGGAACGAAGTTGGAGGACTTGACACTGCTGCCAGCCATCGGCTGTATGTACCTCCTGCTCTGTCTGCCCTGGAAGAATCCACAAGGGGCACCTAGAGCTGGTGTGTAGAAGACCATGATAGCAGGCAATGACCTTGGTGCAGAGTTCAGTCCCCAGAGGCCCTTTGGTGGGGGTGGAGGGTTGCTGTGCTGGGCCTCGGGGGACCTGGATGTCAGGGTCTTGCCCTTTACTATATTTAAGGAAAGGAGAAAAGGCCCTTTAGCAAACAATTTGTGGGGATGGAAATTCCCAGAAAAGCCCATCCATGCTGTATTTGAGGAAAAGAGTCACTGTGCCAGGGAGCTTGGTAAACTCTGCAGGGCAGCACTGTGACCTAGTGGGTAGGGCCACCCACCTGCAGTGCCGGCATCCCATATGGGCACAGGTCTCAAGTCCCAGCTGCTCCACTTCCAATCCAGCTCTCTGCTATGGCCTGGGAAAGCAGTAGAAGATGGCCCAAGTGCTTGGGCTCCTGCACCCACATGGGAGACCTGAAAGAAGCTCCTGGCTCCTGGCTTCAGATCGGTCCAGCTCTGGAAGTTACGGCTGTTTGAGGAGTGAACCAGCAGATGGAATATTCTCCGCCCCCCCAACTCTGCCCTTCAAATAAATCTTTAATAAATAAATAAATAACTTTGCTTGGGGTCCCGGAATTTCTCCTCCTCCTCCTGACACACAGAGAAGTGTGGCTGGATGGATAAATAGCCGCTTCCGAAAACCTGGGGCGCGCAACTTTAAGGGGGAGGAAGAAAGCAGGACGGACGAACATAAAAGGGGAACGGGAAGGAGAGGAACTTGAGAGAACCAAAGGACGAGAAGAAAGCGGGCTCATCAAGGGCGGAGGTTGGGAGGGGCCGAACCCCTGGCAAAGCCCGGTCCAGAGCGAGACTCAGCGGTTGAGGGCGCGCGGCGGCGCCGCGTCCCACGCTGGGGAGATTAATGGAACCGCGGCGCCCGCTCTTGAGTCCTGCCCGGGGAGGGACAGTATCTGTTTAGATTTGTGTCTAAATTTAAACCCTGATCGCCGGCCTCCCTCCCCGGCTCCCTCCCCTCGCCTTTCCCCTCCCTCCCTCCTCCTCCTCCTCCTTCTTCCTCGTTCCCTCGCGCAGGGGCCCCGCGGCCGGGGCAGTCCCGCAGCCCAGCGCAGCCCGGCGCGCCGCCGCCCACTCGCCCTGCGCCCGCCGCAGCCCGAACCTGGCCCGGGCCGGGAGCTGAAGGGACAACAGGGATCGCGAGTTTCAGCCCCAAGCGAGCGCGGGCGCGGCCGCCGCTGGAGGACAACCTGGAGGACATGGAGGTACAGGACCGGGACCAGGGGCGCGGGGCTGGGCGGCGTGAGGGGGCGCGGGCGCCCCCTTGCCAGGCAGCTGCCGCACTCGGGACTCCCGGCTGCCGACAAGGAGAGGGGCAGATGCGCGCTGCCCCGACGCCTCCTTGGCCAACTGTGGGGGCTCGAACCAGTCCTACCTGGGCGACCGCTCTAGGCAGGCAGAGGTTGGGCAAGGCAAGACTTTAGAAGCAGAGGAGGGGGCATTTCTAGGGGTCCGGGTGTTGGGGTTGGGCGCTTTGAGTCGGGCGAACTTGGCTGCAGCCACGGTTTGTAAATGAGCAAATGTGTGAACATAAATTGCAGAAAAGCAGAAGCCCCCGAAGGAAGCCCACAAGCCAGACATTATGGGGGAGGCCAGCGCACAGTGCACTGTGGGGTCTCCGCGCGCTGCTCACGGCAAAGTGGCCTTGTGGACTCCAGTTGTCCTCTCTTGTCCCCTCTCGCGGGACAGCCAAGCGACCTTCGTTCTGCTCAAACTTGAGTCTCCGCTGGGTGCCCCAGCTTGCTGAGGCTGTGTTTTGGGAGCGTGCTGTAAGGGTGCATGGGGAGTGAGGCTCAACACTTGTCGCAACAGAAGGCTGAGAACTTTGCTAGGACTGTGCCTACCAGGGCAGAGCGGAGCAGGGGGCTCCAAGGGACCACCCACCAGCGTCAGAGTGCTGAGTGTGGCCCCCACGTCCTCCCTTCTTGAGACTTGCATAGATCCCCCTGGCCCCTTCCAACCCTCTTGAAATGGAGGCTTGCTGTGCAGCCTGAGTCAATCTTAGCAGACCCGGGGCTTTTGAAAAGAAGAAAGAGGAAGGTGCAAATGCTAGGCAGTTTTTAAGGTGATTCCCACTCAGTTGAAAAAGAAACCTGCGCTCCTGCTAGGCTGTACTCGAGTCAGGTCCCCAGCAATCAGAGCTGGCAGGCAGGCGGCTGCTCTGTCTTTCCGGCTATCTCTCCCCTTCTATCTCCTCCTGGCTCCAGGCCCTGTGTCTGAACCCTAGTAGCCTCTTCTGAGCTAACTCGCTGCTTGTCTGAGAAGTCCTGGGACTTCTCTGAAGGGGCAGATTTGTCCTTGGGCAGCTTTGTTCGAGCATCCAGCTTGGCTAGTTGTCTGTCCACCCCACCCCACCCCATCCCGGAAGCAGGATCACCCGCTGGGAGGATTTCTGGAGTGCAAGGGACCCTAGGATCCTCTGGGGTCCCAGGTGGACCCCTAGTAGAATCATTTGCGAAACAGGGCAGATTAGGGCTGGGGGCGAGGCCCACACACACAGCTCAGCAGGTGATGTGAGAGACTGTACAAGCTCAGAGCCACAGGCTCTCACTGAGCAGCCTAGGGCAGAGCAGGGAGAGGCCAGGGGATGCCTCAGTGGCCAGGCTGAGTGAGGGCTCCCAAAGAAGAAGTGGACTTAGAAGTGGGTTCCCTCCTCCGATAGACTGCATTGTGCCTGCGGGCCCAGGCTGCAGCTTCCACGGAGTTTATGATCGGTCAGATCTCTTGCAGAGATGGATCGGAGATCAGAGGAAAATGAACCTTGGGCTTGCAGCAGGCTGCTGCTGGAGGGCCAAGTGCAAGTTTGAACTCTGTCCTGGGGGAAACTCAGAGGGGCTCCGGGGTCCGCAGAGGCACTTTCTCTGCCCTTGGTAGAGGAAGGAGCCGTGGATAACAAAAGCCCTGAAACTCTCCCCCAGAGCAACTTCCTGTGTTGCTGGGGGTGGCGGGGCCGGGGAGGCCCGCCCGTTCTCAAAGTGAGAAGTGTAGTGACTCACAAGGGATTCTTCCCAGAGACTAAACTCTCTGTGTGCTGGGGCCGGGGTGGCGAGGAGGGCCGGCCCTGGGAACCCGCACCTACCCCAAGGCCACGCGTGTGCTGGCTGCCAGTGACTGCTTTTGGAAGTTTCTTTGTCCAAAGGACTGGGGAAAAACAACAACAAAAGCAAAAACAAAAAACAAAACAAAACCCTGCAACTGCCCGCATGGGGGAAGGAAGTGAAGAGGAAGCCAGAGGTCAACAAAGAGGCCATTCTTGTCCAGGAAGTGAACTTGTCAAGGTGGGGTATGGGAGGCAAGAACGAAGTGTTCTCAGAGGAGAATCTTCAGAGAGCTGAAACCCACTTTTGAGACATGAAAGGGCTGCCATATTTGGGAAGAAACTGAATCACATTACTTCTCACTTCCAGAGTTCTAACCAGACACATAAGACTTCCTCGACATTCTTTCTCTGGGCCCCACTCACCCCTTGGAAGTCTATATTGTTATTATTTTTATTTCCTTAAAAGGCAGAGAGACAGAGAGACAGAGAGAGAGAGAGAGAGAGCGAGTTTCCATTCATGGTAGACTCCCCAAATACCTACCACAGCTGGGGCTGGGCCAGGCAGAAGCCAGGAGCCCAGAACTCAATTCAGGTCTCCCAGGGACCCAGCTAACTGAGCCATCAGCTGCTGTCTCCCAGGGTGCACAGTAGCAGGAAGCTGGATCAGAGGTGGAGCCAGGACTCAAGCCCACGCACTCAGAAATGGGATTTGAGGGTTTCGAGTGGTATCTTAACCATTGGGCATTCACCTGCCCCTGGAAGCCTTTGAGAAATGAGATTTATTTATTTTTGTATTTATTTATTTAAAAGGCAGAGTTATAGACACACACACACACACACACACACACACACAGGGAGAAAGTGATCCTCATCTGCTGGTTCACTCCCTATTTGGCTGCAATGGTCAGAGCTGGGCCAGGCTGAAGCCAGGAACCAGGAACTTCATCCAGGTCTCTCATGTGGCTGCAGGGCCACCTTCTACTGCTTTCCCAGGAGCATCAGCAGGGAACCAGATTGGAAGTGGAAGCAGCCAGAATTTGAGCCAGTACCCATATGGGATGCCAGTGTTGCAGGCGGCAGCTTAAGCCACAATGCCAGCCCTGAAATATCTTTAAAAATCACTCACCATTATCAACAGCATCAGTCATTACTCAGGCCCTCCTTAAGCCCCCTGGAATGAATAAAGCGAAGGTGCCATCAAGTCCATGCCTTTTATTTATTTAATTTTTGAAGATTTATTTATTTATTTGAAAGGAAGAGTTACACAGAAAAAGGAGAGAGGGATCGGGGAGAGGTCTTCCATCCACTGGTTCACTCCACAACGGCCAGAGCTGCACCAATTTGAAGCCAGGAGCTTCTTCCAGATCTCCCATGCAGGTACAGGGACCCAAGTACTTGGGCCATCTTCTACTGCCTTACCAGGGCTTAGCAAAGAGCTGGATTGGAAGTGGAGCAGCCCCGACTCAAACCGGTGCCCATATGGGATGCCAGCACTGCAGGCGGTGGCTTTACCCGCTACACCATAGTGCCTGCCCCAGAGCCCATGCCTTTTAAAACTCACACTCCAATAGAGGAAATGAGACTTGGTGTGTCCAGTTACACGGACAGCCTTCAAACACGTGTGTTCCAGACGCTTCTCTGTTGCAGACCCTGGGAGCCACAGGAGCTGAGAGCAGATGAGCCTTGAGAAAAGCCTTAAAAGAAAGGTGGTGGTGAGGAGGAGAAGGCATAGGAGTGGGTGCAGGGAGAACGTGCCAGCTTTGTTCAGGAAAACAGGCCAGTCGGCTGGAGAGGAAGGTGGGAAAGCAGTGAGAGAAAAAATGAAAATAGTAAGATAATGCCAAAGGCCAGAGAGTATAGTAGGTGCTGGCCAGGTGGGTGGCAGCCGGAAACCCAAGCCACCTGCAGCAAGGGGTTCCTTTGTCCTCATACAAATTCCCCTTGCCTCGCTGTGCCCCGAAGCTGTGCCTTTTTCTAGCCTATATGGTGGCCACCCACTGTCCTCGAAGGCCAGGTTCTGTGTCATCCGGGATTCTGCTCCGTGGAGAACGGAAATGCTGAGATTTGCTATGCGAGATGATGACTGCAATGTGGCGGGGATGATCCGGGAGAAGTGCCAGCTCCTAGGCCAAGTGAGGGAGCTGTGTTAAAGGGCTTCTGGGATAGCCCAGGTATGTTCTGACTTTGAAACAATAAGAATGGAACACATCAGTGTGGGCCTTTAGCCGGGCAGTTAAGAAGCCATTGACGACACCTGTGTCCCACATCAGACTACCCGGATTCAATGTGCGGCTCTGGTTCCCAACTCCAGGCTCACGCTGATACAGACCCTGGGAAGACAGCCATGATGGCTCAGGTGACTGGGGTTCTGCCACGCACATGGAAGACCTGGATTGAGTTCCGGCTTTGACCCCCACCCAGCCCTAGCCACTGTAGACATTAGAACTCACCAGGGTGCACAGAACAGTGGCATTCTGCAGGATGCTAGGCAGAGGGCAGTACCTGCACCTCCAGCTCTCTGGACAAGGGACTTTGGAAGGCACGGACTGCCTTTTGGGTCTTTGGGTCTCCAGAGATTAGCACGGTGCCTAGCACCTACTGTAACTTCTTAATAAAAGCTTGCTTGGTAACTGAGCTCACAGGTGCCGCTCAAAGGTGTCCATGTCCGGGAGCCTGCTCAGATGCCCTCGCACTCTGCGGTATTCCTAAAGCCCTTTGTTCCAGATGCATTAGAGCGCTGGGCTGAACCAGACTGCTGCCTCCCTGGCTCCCTCTCTCTCTGGAAGGCTCCCTGAGGACAGGAGCTATGTATCTAGGCCCTAATGGACTCCCAATAAATCTTATTGAGCGAGTGAATAAATTACTGAAGATGGGAAATGCATCAGGTTCTTTTTTAAAAGCAAGGCTTCAACATATTGGTTTTGATTGTTCAAAGCAGATATGTCCCGCACTCCAAGAGAATTACAGATCTCTTAGGCTGCATACATGGCAGGTGAAAGAATTGGGACGGGAGCCCAGAGGAATTGAGTGTATAGTCAAAAAAGAGCTGGGGGGTCCTGTGGTGTGGCGCAGTGGGTTAAAGCCCTGGTCTGCAGCACCAGCACCACATATGGGCGCCGGTTCAAATCCCGGCTGCTCCACTTCTGATCCAGCTCCCTGCTAATG